TCCACCTGATGGATTATCTCAAACAATTGGACTTCTTAAATTTATAAACTAAATTATGAATGAATAACTATTTGTATTTTTAGAAAAAGGTACTCTTGTTAGTATTTGTCTAATAATCTTAGTCTATATTTATTTCTAAATCTACTGTGGCTTGATAAAAATATATTTTCGTTTAATTCATTATACAGTCTTGTGGATTTCAGGTAGAATAAGTTATGATACATCTTTGTTTTACATAAAGGATAACTATTTTTGAATCGGAGTGCCTGCTTTCATTTCGGAAAAAAATATGTTTATTATACAAACTTTCAGGTACCTTTAATCTCAAAATACACGTTAACATGCTTAATATTTTGAATTATTGCATCTCTTTAACTTTTAATACAGATAATTTCTTATACTTTTCGTACACACGATCATCAAATTTTACATTAAGTATGTACCTTAAACACATATTTTGCGTGACTTGGCGATCTTTAATGTTTTTAGAATTCAGGTTCGACATTACTTGTAAGCCATAGTTTAAGCAAGGAAAAATAAATACTTTTACAATACATTTTTTTATTTTTTGAGAGTAATAGTTAAATCATTTTTTTAGCCTATACATTTTACAATAGATAATATTACAAATCTTCTTTACTTGCCGATCCCATGATAAGTTATCTTGTACAAGTATACCTAATATATTAACATTTTTGGCATAAGGGATTTTTTCGTTATTATCTCTTACTTCCGGCAATAAGTCATACTTAAAGAGTATAAATTGCTCATCATTTAAGCCTATAAATATTATTTCAGTATTAAGCAAAATCTTTGACAAATTAATTTATGAACAAATAGTTGAGTTTGTTGAGAAATACGGCATCCTAAATGTAATCAACATGCATATAGAAAAGGACATAGCACAGAATTTGCACTGGTTCAAGTTGTGGATGAAACAAAAAAAAATTGTAGATGATAGGAAACTAACCATTCTAATATCGTTGGATTACTCAAAAGCGTTGATTCAGTAAATAGATAAGTGCTACCGTTCATACTTGAATCAATGAATTTTTCTGATAAAGTTTTGATGTTATTAAAGTCATACCTATATAAAGGATATTTAAAATAAATAAAAATATAAATAACTCAAGTCTCAGCTTAGTGTGCGCGTGCTAAACAATAAGTTCTACTAAACATGTGTAAATCTCGTTAAATGTAAAAGAGGTTTATGTAAACCAAATTTTGCGAGTATAAATAAATCATTAATCTCTCTCTCTCTCTCTCTCTCTCTCTCTCTCTCTCTCTCTTTTACCTATGTATCTCTCTATCTTCTTCTCTCTCTCTCTCTCTCTCTCTCTCTCTCTCTCTTTTTCTATTTATCTTTTTCCTTTTCTCAATCTAATTTTTCATTACTATATACCTTTACTTTGAACTCTCTGCCTCGCTCCATCTCTCTCACTCTCTCTCTCTCTCTTCCTTTATCTATCTATCTCTCTCCCCCCCTCTCATACTCTCTCTCCCTCTATCTATCTATCTATCTATCAATCAATCTATCTATCTGTCTATCTATCTCGAGTTATTTATTCATCCAATTTGGATTTTTTCTAAATTTTTTCTCCATCCCTGCCTTATCACATAAAATTTAAGGTTTAAAATGCCTCTCACACACTTCTCTCTATTTCTGCCTTTTGGTTTCTTCTTTTATCTATCTGTCACGTTCTCTATCTATTTATCCATTTCTACAGTTCTCTCTCTCACCCTCCATCTCTTCATTCTCTCTTTCTCTTCTTCTCTCTTTTTCTTTCTCTATCTTTTCCTCTCTCCCTCTATCTCTATCTATTTATGGTCTTTTTCTCTAATAATTTATCCCTTTCTCTTTGCCTGAATCTCTCCCTTCTTCAGTTGATGGTTTTTCTCTCACTGTCCTAAATCATATGTCTGGAGGTTTCATCTCTCTTTTTTACTCTCTCTCTCTCTTTCTCTCTCAACAACACACCTCATTAACAGACTTCTCTTAAACAAGTTTAGAGGAAATTGGATTTCAAAAATATTTTGGCAATTGCACAATTAATTGATCAAAGAAGGAGCAGTATACCCCTTGATAAAATGCAATAATCAAGAACCGAACAATTAATTAATGTAAAAAATTGAAAAGAAACGCAATTACGTGCTTATTGTCAAGGAGCTTACCTGTCGTCGGAGTGAAAGCTCGGCTGTCTACTGATAGCGAGCAACACGGCCACAGTCATTGGCCCGATATACAAATGAGTTCTATCTTCACGCCCCATTTACAACGGCTGCATTATAACGGCTGGCGAGCTGGTTTCCAGGGATTCCTCGAAAACGTTCCTCAAACGCTGCTTTGAACCCCTTGCTTCAGCTCAAAGGTATTCCGAGGAAATGATTACAAATTCCCTCTATAAAAGTGAAGCTGCTCCTTGTCTGCGATGCTTTCCATTTCAGCCCACGTTCATTACCATTTTATCAAAATGCCTTTTGTTTCAGAAACACATTTCGCTTTGCACTTTTCAAAGTTTCTTTAAGGGACAATTAACGCAGATGGAATAATTACTGACTCGCTTTACACTGTTTATAAAAAGCTATCGTTTATAATTATTTTTATTTATTTACTATAGTAAAACTTTATAGTTTCCGTGTATGCCTTATAGCGAAAAACTGTACAATTATATAAATTGTAAAATTCAAAAATAGATAGGCGTTTTTTAACAATATCTTTAAAAGTTTTTTCCCGTGGTTTTTATTAACGTTGAATTTAGATACAATCCAGAGTGATATCAATTTTCAAGTGAAAAAAATCCACTTTCCTCCTGCAAATTCAGCCAAAAAATGTCTATTTCCTTATTGTAATAAAAATTCTAATTTTAAGATCTTAATCTCCTGCATGTTCGAGCATTTAGTCAAAATATTGCATGTCGATATAGGGGTGTCGATTCACTAGTGTATTCCGACTGTTTTCAAAAAACCGCTCAACCTAGATAAACACTTAAACAGCTTTTTAATCCGCTTTAAGCACTACTTTTGAACAGTCTATTTTTAATAATTTTACCTATTTTGCTACGATGCTCGGTCACCAAATAATTATGCATTGTATTTCAATATATATCTCGCCCGTAGTTAGATTGTTTTTAGATTTTTGATTATTTATAGAAATAAATTAAGTTGATATTCGTATTTTTCCCTCTGAAAAACCCCTGCAAGAAGGGTCAGCTAGGTGTCTGACACATTTTTGACCTAGCATCACCAAACTGTTTCCTTAAAATCTGAGATCCACGTAGCATCCTCTTTGAGTGATTTTTCTGTTTTTTCAAATCGGTCGGTATATATACATATATATAAGTAGAAACATAAAACAATTTTTTTATAATAAGGGCGTTTTAGTCCGAGGATATATGTATATTGAATTCACGAGTGCATCCACTTATTCCTCTGCTATTGTTATGCCATTTGGGGTGGATTCCTTTTATTTCCTTCTGATTGAAAAGCGGACAATTTTCTCTCCATAGAAATCCCCGGCGCAGAAAAACAGCCTTTGCTTCATTTAATTTGAGTACATTCATCGATCGATGTTAAACGGGGTTGAGTTTTTTTGACAAAAGTGAACAATACGACACAGAGCAAAAATTTAAGCCTTTAACCATGAACAATAAGGACGTTGTAAACGTTTTTTTCATTTTGGGAACCGAAATTGAACTCGTCAAATGGTAAAGCAATTAGTTTTTTGTTTTGTCAAAGGTTTTATCTCTTTTACAGGTGACTACAATATTGATAATCGAAATAATCAATTTTCACAAAATCTCTACATCAGATTTGCATATGGGTGGCATAATTTTCTATAGAAATAACATATTTTCCTGCAGCCAACCGTCGGCTTTAATTGATTGGTTTTAATATGAAAAGTGAAAATGAAGTATATATTTATGCACTTTTACGTATTTTTGATTATTTGGTTCATTCACACATATTATCACTGTATTTTTAGGTATCATCAAACGAAAATAGTGACTGTGTTAAACAATATAATATAAAAATTCAACGCGATTATAATTTGAATTGTAGTAGATAGAAATTGGATAAAAACTAAGGAATGTTCGTTATAATTAATAATAAATATAATTGGATAGTAAGATATGAAAAATGTTACTTTTGTAAAGTATTGAGGTATAAATTATGCTTAATTTTACCACTCAAAACCATGGAATTAACAGTTGTTTGTTGTTTCATTTACCCATGATAATATATTACTTTATACAAAAATCGATGGTACTAATTTCACTACTGAATGTAAGTACGTATTTTGGCATAATCCGGATTTAACTCGAGTTACTCGAGTTGTTTAAGTTTATAGCTAATTATTCATCAATATAATCAATACAGAAGCAAACGTCATCGATTCGTAACACAGGACTTAGTGTTTATTAATGGTAAATCAGGGGTAATTAGTTGACGAGCTTTTAATTGAGCTTAATCACTAGGTCATATTAAGTTGCCAAACGATCCTAAAAGTGGTCTAAACCGACAGATCAATAATTCAATTTTTAATTAAATTAATCTTGATTTTTTTAAAGTAATTTAATTATTGGCATTAGAAAATTAAAATTAAATTATTTCAAATTTATGATATTTTTTAATATTTCATGTGGATTGTACGTAAGCCTTGCAAAATGAATTTGGGTTTTTTTTGAAAGTATGAAGATGATGGGATGTTTCTTTGATTATAAAACATTATTTATTTATTTTTTAAATTTTTAAATGTAGAATTATTCATTTGATTACAATTTTTGAAATTAATGAGTAAACCCATTGTACGGCCAATTTTATAAAATATATCATCAAACCAAATTTGCTTATAAAATTGTGCGTGTATTATTTGAGTTATTTTGAAACGGTTTGTACGTCATTGCTGATTATCGCTATGGGAAGTCAAAATCGCTTAGTCGGTTCTAAAGCTAGAGTTTCTTGTTGGGATAGTTTTTATTTTTGGACAATTTGCCTCCCACCTTGTTTGTCGTGTTTTTGACGGATCGAGCGGAAGAAGGGTATGCTGCCGTCCTGGGGTTTGTCTGCAGACTGACGTTCAGCTCTCGAACCGAAGCCCGTGAGGATGAGGGCGCAGGCCCGCATCTTGGAGATTCGTGGTTAAATTCCTTTGTGTACATGTCGTAAGACAATAGTAGTATACATTTGCATTAAGTTAAAACACATTATTTAAAAAACAAAAACAATTTTATTGTATGTTATTGGTTACTGGTTCTTTATACTGAGTAAATGAGTAAATATCAAAATTATAAATTAATTTTGGTTAAATTTTTGAAAATTTGAATAACATCGGATCTTTAGGCATGAGGAGAAAAGGGCTTTTAGGGTTTATGTCTGGCATTTTTTCCTTTCCTTCTACTGGCAGGACCTTGTAGTTCTTGAAGATATGCGCTGCCGCTGTTTTGATTTGCGTCAGAGCGAATCTCTGCCCTGGAAACAATGTGACAGCATGAATAAACATTGAGGAGGGAAAATTAGGCAAATTACCTAGACAGGCCCTTGGTCCCAAGCCGAACGGGAAAAAGTACGGCGGCGCGTTTTGTTTGTAGAACCTGTCAGGGTTGAATTTTTCCGGGTCGGGGAAGTACTTCGGGTCTGTGTGCATGGCGTACACGGGCACAGTCACAGTCATTCCACGTCTCAATGGATAATCTCTTCCTCCGGACTTCAACACGATATCTTGTGTGCACTCCCTCGATAGGACACTACCAGGAGGAAACAACCTCAGCGTTTCTGCAATCATACATCTCGTATTTACCTTATCTTAAATTACAACTTATTTCTTTGGGTATGTTAAGCTTTCTTACAAAATGAAAGAACTACGAACAATACAACAATACGGGGTGTACAAACTCAAAAATATATATGACAAAGTGGTAGAGAAATTAAAACGAAAGGTGAAGAATACCTGCCTAAACAAAAGAAATTCTCTGAATATAAGGATCGTTTAAATGGTAAGAGACACAATTGTAATATAGATTCAAACATAAACCAGCTACACAGTTACAAGGGAAACAACTGGATCCTAAAAAATAAATAAATTGGTGATAGTATACTATACAAATATGTATACATGATTAATCACACAGCACAACACTAGCACTAATGATTATTTGGAGATCGTGAGATGCGGCCTGGTGTGACGTAGGTTTTAGAAAAACGTTTTCTTTATCGTGCCAACGTTTCAATTTTTATTGAGATCATCTTCAGGGCTCAAAGTGTTTATTTTCCGTGTGCCATTCTTCTGTGTCAGCCCATTTGTCTGTGTCGGGGCACTCTCAACACGACACAGAAGAATGATACATCTACACGGAAAACAAGAAAACAAATAAACCCAAAAAAGATCGAAACATTGGCACGATAAAGAAAATGTTTTTCTAAAACCTACGTCACACCAGACGGCATCTCACGATCTCCAAATAATCATTAGCGAACGGCCACTAAACACCACTCATTACTAGCACTAATGCCAGCACTGCACCAATAGAACAAATGCTTTGTGGAGCCAGCCAATGCGTACTCAGTGTGTATGATTAGGGGTCAAGGAGGTCCCGAGGCCACGTCGAGGCGATGTGGTGGGTTGTCAGGATGGGAATGAGTGGAGAGGGCTCGAGCAGTATGGTTAGCACGGTTCGGAAAGTTGATGTGGAAGGTTTGGAATCTGGACCGGATTAGTTCGTTGACAAAAGTAATGTTGAGGTCTTGTGGATAATGAGGTGCTTTGACCATTTGTCTAAGGACTTTCGATTGGAAGGACTGGATGCGCTAGATATTGGAAGGCTTGGCAGTGCCCCACAGTTCCTCTCCGTACGTCCATATTATCCTTAGTAAAGCTACACTGTTAGCTTTGTCTTAATTGTCAAAGTCGATTTCGGTCTTAGAAGTCTTCGTAGTAGTCCAAGTTTTGTAATAAGTTTTTTTTTTTAAAGTCTTGTGTGGGGGATTCGACGTCAGCCTGCTGTCGAGATATAGTCCCAGGTATATGACTTGAGGGGAAACTGGTATCTCTTTGTTGTTGATGTACAACGGAGGGCAAGACTGCTTTTTCAGCATAAAAGTACAATGAGTGCATTTTTCTTCGTACAGTTTTGTCCTCCATTTTTTACCGCTCAACGTGTTCCTGGATGTTGGAGGTAGCTTACACACGATTCGAGTTAGAGGATAGGATTGCGGTGTCGTCCGCGTAGGTGGTGATAATAAGGATGTATTGCTAGGTCAGCAGTATCAGTGACCCTGCGATAAACCGGCGTGTGTATGTTTGACTTTCGAGAATTCATTGCCGCACCTCACTCTGAGCTAGCGATCAGTTAGGTATGATTTTAATAAAAGGTAATAATGAGAGGATAGGATGCGCTTAAGTTTAAAAAGTATGCCTGGGTGCTGACCCTTAAATAAAAAATAAAAAAGAGCAGATTTTTTGTAGAAGTATCGTTTTAAACTATTGAATTGATATACTCAGTCCATCTTAACTATTTCTTAAAGTCCCATTTTTGTTTTTAAATAGTATTTTTTGCTAAGCTCTTCTCTCAGCAAAACATACAAAATTCTAATTTAGATATTAGTAAGACCAACGCTTATATATCTTCTCTGATGTTCTACACGCAATACAAACATAAAAAAAATTGCAGGTAACAAAACATAAGTTTTTTTACACAAATATAGAGTCATTGCATATGGTTAAAAGAGCGACCGAATTTTCCTTGGCATGTGAAAATAGAAAATTCGCTTTAGTTTAAGCATAGGACGAGATAATCCACCAAGAAATCACCATAAAACTGTACGTAGTGAAACAACATTCCGAACATATCCAAATCTGTGATATGTATAAAACTTATTTACGTTTATAAGTTAGGTTTTTCAGTTTGTAAATTTAACTGTCTGTATAATTCAATTCAAAAAGGAGGGAAAACTCATAAGGTGAGGTTGAGATGGGAAGTGGATGTCCGAGTGGATCGAGGTCACGATAGCTCAAGTGGTAGAGCAGCGGCGTATTTAGCGGAAGGTCGTGGGTTCGAATCCCGCTCGTGACACTGACTTTTTTATCTCAACTAAAAACCTTAATTAATTGTAATGTCTGTATAATATAGAATCTGGAAAAAGTATTCCGAGATTTACTGTTCCCACAAAAGATATTTGTTTAACTTTGAATTAAACTTTATTTATTTACATAGATTAGTGTTGTGGTTGTGTCTTCGGGCACATTTAGTGTAGTGTGGGGTTTGTTGATAGTGGTGTGATGTAGTTCATTACACGTTAGTTCATTCACATTAGTTACACTTTCGTACATTAGTTGGAGGTTTGGTATATGTCCAACTGTATTTCGTAGCGTATACTTTATTCGTATATTAGTGGTTTTTAGTGACGGGTTGTTTAATAATTTGTTGAGGTTGTGAAACCAAAACTGGGGTAGTGAGGAGAGGGCTAAACTCAGAGGAGTGATGTGACTACTAACCGGTCACTAGCATCTGAGAAAACTTCTTCACAACATGGGCATATACAACGAAGATCCTAGCTGCGGATTATGTAATGAGAAGGAGGAAACAGCCACCCATATCATCTTCGAATACGAAGCAACAGCTCAATGGAGATTCACCCTAACATACGAAAAAAACTTAGGGAATGAAATTGTAGCAGCGACAGTCAATGACCTGTTACGTCTAAGTCTATTTCACTGAACTAAGGAACTAGGAAGGTACAATAAGCCAGAAGGCTGCAGTGCCTGGGGGAGTACAAACCCTGCTTCCTAGTATCCTTATCCTTATCATTCCGTACCATGGAGTTGTGAAGAGCGGTAAGCGTGTGTTGACTACTCCTCACTAATCCAACAAATTAGTAAATATTAGTGTTCAGTACTGCAGTGAATTGTTATTATTGTTTTGTAACGAGTACTGGGCTGTTAGTAATTAGTAGTAGTATTGTAAATGTATTAATAGTAGTAAGTATTGTTAATGCTTGTATTAGAGCTGATGATTTTCGAATTGTAATGTGTATATGATTTTCCTACCGTTAATCACAGCGTCGAGATAAGGTAAGGAGTGGATGGTGTCGTAATCGAGGTTTTCAACTTTTGAAATTTCATCCCTTAATTTCTTCTGAACGTCTTGATGTAGTGAAAGGCAGCAAAGCATGAAGCCCATGACCGTCGAAGATGTCTCATATCCGTCCAGAAGAAAGGTGAGCGAGTGACCGCATATTTCTTGTACGCTGTACACTGAAAAATTTGATTTATCAATAAATATTTTCTAAAAATCTCAGTTTGCAAATAATAATTGGCCAAAAAACGTACTTGGTTTTTCTGATTTATTATTCTCCATTAAACTTCCGAGATAGTCATTCCTCGATACGTTGTTCTTCAATCTATATTCATACATGTCCAAGACAATTTTAACGAAATAGTCTACCACTTCATCATTAATAATCCTGAAAAAAAAATTATGTACATTTTATACAATTGATTTAAAATCAATTACTTTAGTTTCAGCAATTTGGCAAGCCACGGGGCATGAGAAGACAAGAGGAAAGCCATGTTGCTTGTCGTATCCGGCTGAAGTATCTTCAACGACATTTTTCTAAACTCTGCGTTCGGATCGAGAAAGGAGTTGGTCTTGAGCCCGAAGACGCAGGATCCGACGACATCAGTAGTGAACTGTCCAGCGAAATATTTGCCCTGTAATTGAAAGTCTTATTAGCTCCGGCAACAATATAACGTTCTTTCATTTCACCTCGATTTCAACATTTTGTTTTTCCTCTATAAACTTTAGCATGTCACGCGTGACCTCTTCGATCATAGCAAACATAGCTTTGATTTTTAGAGTTGTCTGCCTTTGAGTATGGATCGACCTAATTGTTTTCCACCTGAGTGCAATAACCAAAATTTAGTATTGTGTGGACAGTTGAAACAAAATCAACGAAAGAACGGTTACAATTCCTTACCTTTCCCCTTTTATAACGAATGGATTGAGCGCGAGAACCGGATTACTTTTTGTATCTACATTTACATCAGGGTCGTGAAACGAATTAAATTCTTTTACTAATACACTTTTAATCAAGTCTAAGTCTTTGACCATAAGCTGAGGTAATCTTCCCTTGAAAAGACCCACTGCTGGCTCATCGGGGTACACCCTGAAAAAATATTTAATTTGAGCCATTAAAAAAAGAAAAACTAATAATTAATATCCTGTACCAATAAAGGTTCTTGTAGATAACGCCGACATTTTCTTTATTGAGAATAGAATCTTTCAAGTTGCCGAAAAAGAGCTTGGGTTGAATATACCGCACTCCAATCTTCTGCCAGTAGTCGTAGTGCCACGTTAACCACTGATAAACGGCCAATGCGATGACGGCCAAAACCAAGAAAATTTGTAACATCTAAATATTAAACATTAGAGTTATATCTTTTATCACTTATAATATATTTTATAAATTTGTATATCAAAGATACAGATAACACCTTGAAACATTCATCTCTAATTTCTACAAAATACAGTTAAAAGTTATGTTCAAGTTTACAACAAGAAAATCTATGAAAAACATTTATACAAAGGAAAAAGTCAATGTAATTTTTCTGATCAATATTACTTTTTGTTAAAAATACAAGTAAAACTTATAAAAAAGGAAATTCCTTGAAACAATGCACAGATACTCTTTTGCAAAACAGGTTGATAAACTTTTGTAACAACGTAAAAATACATAATGCAATAATCTGTTGAAAAAGAATGCAATCCTTTTTAAAAAGATAGTTCCTACTCACAGTAAGTTGCTTGGAACGACCGGATTTCGAGCCGTTAGCTCACCATCAGGTTGAAGGAGTTCTAGAACCACGTCTCTCGACCTGAATTGCACAAGTGAACCCGCCGGTACCCCCGCCAACGCGACGTTCGAATGAGAAGCTGGTTTTTAATGGCGCTTAATTTGAACGTGCAAAAAGCGGGAATTATAACATAAGTAAATATTATAATGGTAAATACTGTAAGGTCGTGTTGGAGGTGGTATAAGCGGGTTCACTTGTGCAATTCATGTCGAGAGACGTGGTTGCAGAACTCCTTCAACTGATGATGAGGTAAAGGCTCGAAATCCGGATCATTGGAAAACAACTTACTGTGAGTAGGAACTATCTTTTTAAAAAAAGATTGAAAACCACACTCACTCATGAAACAAACTCCCTTATGAACAAATCCATTTCTTTACATTTAAAATCTCCGTTTGAACTTGATTTTTTCATTGAAATCAAAGTTCAAAATTGAAAAAATACATCACTATTATTTTAGAGTTCAAAATTTCTTTTTCAAATTGACGTCTAGTAATTCAGAATTGCCTTGAAAATACTCCCACCACAATGAAATGCGGCCTCGTTAAATTGTGGCCTTGTCAACGGCAATCTGTTTCAAATTACGGAAGTTAAAACGAAAACGATTAAATTTTTGACAGTTATAGATATTCCAAATTAATTTGTGATTATAATGATTTTAATTTTTTGAGATTCACAATGACTTTATATTTTTATGAATTTGCGGAATATTTTATTTTATTATTAGAATGTTTAAATAATTATGAAGTAAATAACTATGGGATAAGTTTTAGTCAGCTTAGCTAGAAATCATGTTTGGTATACGACTCTTGTTGTTAATTCACTGACTTTCCGGCTACCGTTGTTTATTAATCTTCAATTACTATTAATGTTAGTTTAAATTCATTATAATACACATTATATGATTTTTTTGTGGTGTTTTGTACTCACTTTAAATCGTAGCTGCTCACAACGGAAACAACGTGTTAGGTCTTCCGATCGAGAATGCTCCTTCTTCTCTTCTTCTTCTCCCACTTTAATCATTTGACCCTTCCCACTTCAAGCGAACTTTGAGTAGTATTTGATGTTTGAATATTTCAAAATATTTTAATGTATATTTACGATATGAGTATAAGTATTACGCTCGAGATAAAAGTAGTTGTATTGTATGGTTAAATAATATTCAACAAGCCCGGCAAGTCGGTGAACTCATGCTGAACCGGCACTGGGCGACTTACTGGATTAGAAAAACAAAAAACAAAAACCTGATGGTGTGTTGGGTGCCAGGATACAAAAAAATTGTAGGTAACGAAAAAGCAGACACACTGATTATATATAGGCCTTGAACTTGAACTTATATTAGGATTTAATATAAAGAAGAGGATAAACTCTAGGGGTGCTAGACCCAGTAAACTTATGCTAATACAACCCACACCAAGACTTGGCAACTCACTGCTGCAATTGGATAGGACCAGCCTCAGATGTTTATTAATGAGAGAGTTTTATTAGTGGACTATTAAAAGGTCACTGTTATCTGCTAGAACATCCACATTACATGGGCATCTTCAACAATGATCCCATTTGCAGGTTGTGCAATGAGGAGAAAGAAACAGCCACCTATATCACCTTCGAATACGAAGCAACGGCTCAATAGAGACATATCCTAGGATAAAAAAAAAACCTAGGGAATGAAATTGTAAAAGCGACAGTCAATGAAATAAAACTCCTGAGAAGGATTGAGCCGATTGCACTGAACTAGGAAACTGAGAAGGTACAAGCCAGAAGGCTGCAGTGCCTGGTGAGCACAAACACCGCTTCCTTTTGTAGTATCCGTCATCATGTTATTTACGCCACTTGTAGGACAAGTTGCCTGGTGATAACACTCCTTCACACTGAAATCTCTTCATTAATTTGCATTGAGAAGATCTCGGGCTACTTTCCATTTAATCACCTTAGAGGATTTTCTGGTACGTTTGAATTAAAAATTAGGATAAAAAACAAAACAAATACAGAATACCCCATCACAGAATGAATAAAAAAAATATATATAAAACGATATTGATAACGGTTGTAATAGGAGATTATTGTGGATACTCAGTGATGATTTTTTTATAGCGGGTTTTTTTAGGTCATGTACAAACAGGAAGTGTAGGTCGTTACGACAGTACAATATGATTGAAATATTTTAAAGAAGCATTTATAATATGACGGAGAATTTTAGACGGAATTGATCGAAGATGGTGGAAATTGGATCCCTGATTGCGCCCCACACTTCACAATTGTACGCCCAGATTCTTGTAAATTAAAAGTTCGTTGTTTTGAACGTGAGCCATGTAGCTTTGTTAGTAATTTATAACTTCGGTTTGTTTCTTATCCTTTCAATATTGTGTTTGGATTAAAAGCCAATCGTTTATCCATGAAAAATACGCATGGTAAAATTTATCTTTATGCGTTTAGTTAGATTTATTTTTATTCCACACTTTGGGAACCATGCCTTTAATTTATCTAGGCGTTGGGGGTTTATGGAGGAGCCAAATTATCTGGATCATTGTATCATCAAGGAAAGTATGTCTTGAAATTTATTTAGAAATCGTGAGATGCGGTCTGGTGTGTTGTAGGTTTCAGAAAAACATTTTCTTTATCGTGCCAACGTTTCGATCTTCATTGAGATCATCTTCAGGGCCTGGGATTTACAAACATTCTTTACATATAACAATTACATTTAGGATGTGGAAAAGTGAATTTATACAATGCAAAATATATTTTTTATATTCAATCAAGGTATTTCTACTCACTCAAAGTGTTTTTCTTCTGTGTAATTGTGCCATTCTTGCGTGTCGTGTCGAAAGTGCCAGTGAGATTTTGCTATTTTGTGTTTATATACATTGGATTTTGAAGGGGTGGGGAAGGATGTCGGTATAGAAAAGACATTTTTGTATAAGGCGTCGGCTTCTTTGAGGTGAAAGGAGCCGACGAAGGGAAAAAATGTGTTGGTAATGGTTCGGCCAGATTATCCTTTCAGGATTATATAGAAAGGGATAAATAGGAAAAGGAAAGCTAAATTGTTGGGAAATTAGACTATGTGAAAAATATTTGATGTGTGGAATGTAATGTGATGATATAGGTATGTTATCTGTATTGAATTTGATTAATGATATTGGCGTAGCTGCGACTGAGTTTACATGTATCTGTTCTGTAATTGATGCTGTGTTTATCTCTGTTGATATAAACCATTTCTAAGAAATTACGTTTATGTTTGTTTTGTTCTGTATGTAATATTTTTGTATTTTTGAAGTCAAAATTGTGTTGGTGTTCAAAGTGGTGGGTAGCGAGTGCTGTAGGATTTTGCTTGGGTTTTTTGCAATCATAGATATGTTGCTTTACTCTCTTGTCTAGATATTGGGATGTAAGACCGATAAAGAAAATGTTTTTCAGAAACCTACATCACACCCGACCGCATCTCACGATATCTGAATAACTAATCTGCGGATATTATTGACTGTTAAGGTTTATGATTACTAGATTTCACATAAGGGGAATTACATAAGGAATAATTAATTGGAATAAGTAACTTGGTCAATTTACCACTAAAACATAAATGGATTAATATTTATTTATTATATTTGCAGAGAAAGGTTGCTCGATGTGTCCCACGTACCCGAAGCGTGTTGTGCCTTGGCTCCCTGCAGGGCGCGAGTAGGCATGCCGCCAGATTTAAAGAGGGTTCTCAGACACAGCAGCGAGTTTCAGGGTCCTCTTTCGTTTTTTAAGGGAATGTGTTATGTTTTTCTGTGTCTTGGTGAATGTATTTTTTGGTGTGAATGGGGAGGGGCTGATGGCGAAGTAGCTTCTCTATCGCTTCTCAGGATGTATGTGTGACTTGGTCTGATGGCGAAAATTTGATAAAAATACCCCATCGACCCCAATTTAGATTAGTTTTTTATAGGGAACAGGTAGATGGAGGAATATGGAGTACTATCTACCAAACAGTTTGAGTACGAACAATGTAGGAATGAATGGGTAAATAGAATATAAACACTTAGTTGGGGGCTGAAATGGTCAAGCTGTGTAGCTGTGGATGCCCCTGTAGTACGAATGGAAAAAAATTATTTATTTAAACACTTACGAGCCAAATTACAAAAAGTAAACAATAAACCTGTCATAAGGATCGACGTTGAGATGAAACCTGACTTATGTTTTAATTATTTATTTGTTGAGATAGCGTGCCTTTTCGGAAACCGCCTAAAATCGATCTCATCAAATAAATAATTTAAACGGATGTCGGGGATTTGTTCCATCTCAATATCCATCCTTATAATTCAACAGCCCTTAGAGTAAACAACCGTAGATAAATAAAAAACTTATCTATTTATTTTATTTTATTTTTACGAGGGTTCGCAACAGATGAGGTCATGTCAACCGTCGGGGTTGCCGGTGTTTCTGAAAAAAAATCCCAATGGTAAGTATTCGAACCCGGGACCTTTACCTTACAGTGATATCAACGCCTAAACCCTTGCGGCCACCGACACCCCTAAACATCTTATTCGTACTCATTTACATGTACATAGGTTTACAAGTAATGAATATACATATTCAGATACATTCAAAAACCAAAACCAGACACGTATTTATTTGTTTATTTTCCATAATAACTAATTGTCAAGATTAATAGTTAACTTAAAACGTAAACACAACATTAATACCTTGTTTTTTACCTTTATAGTGTGTTACTAATCCTTTTACAGTCCTTAGATAATCGGTATTTTAAATTGTTTCATGGATGAAATAATAAATGTGAAAAAAAATTATTAATTTTTTCGTAAAAGCATGGTTTTAAGTCGAAAATGGCAAAAAGGAGGGAAAATTCAAAAGGTGGGGTTGAGATGAGAAGTAAGTGTCCGAGTTATTTTCTGAGTGCGAAATGACCCCGAATAAACAAGGAAAACGATAGTGAAAATCGCACCAATTTGTCCACTTCGACCTAAATGTAGTACTGAGAATATAAAAAATTCATATGAGAAAATTCCTATACAAAATTTATTCTTTATCTTCTACAAGCAGCCAAATAAAGTAGATAAGGAGGCTAAGAGTACATCGGCAACGATTTCCACCTATTGTGGTCCTGGGTCTTTCATAAAAACATTAGATACAAATAGGTCGGTTGAGATGGAGAGTTAGCGTCCGAGAGGATCGAAGTCACGATAGCTCAAGTGGTAGAGCAACAGCGTATCTAGCCGAAGGTCTTGGGTTCGAATCCCGCTCGTGACACTGACTTTTTTATCTCAACTAAATACGTTAATTAATTGAAAGATATTAATTGGTCAAATGGACCACGAAAACTAGTGAAGTTAAAATTGACGTTTAGGACCATTGCCGGTTTTCACTTTCTACAATCTTTTACATAATTTCAGACAATGTTTAAAGACTGAGGATGGACAATAGCCCGAAACATCAATTATAATTTTATAGCATTCATGGTATGGCATTGTTTTTACCCAATAATCTAAAATATTAAACAAAATTTAGGTATCTTTGTTTTAAAACAACCCATAAAAATTACGAAATAAATTGTTTTAGTTGGTTTTATTATACTGTTGGAATGCAAACTTGAAAGCTAAAGTTTAGGTTGAAGTCCCCGATTGTGTGGTAGTCGACGCACGCCTTTGAAGATTATTGTCCGGAGGGGAAACACAACTAACGCCAAATCCGAACTTAAGTTGGCACTCCATAAATATCCAAGACAAGTGCCAGGAGACCCATTTAGATTTGAGCTATCGTCTATTCCTCATGCTCCCGTCTCGAGAACAGGATGCAACTGACGTAAAGGTGAAGTCTGGACGGATTTTGACCGCACTTGTTTCAACAGCCGAAATTTGGATAGAGGGAGGTTAATACGCAAGTTTTTAATTTTTTTTTTTTGCATTTTGACAATTTCAGTTTGAGTATTTTGTTTGAGTGTAAAAGTAATCCTTCATTTTCCAATCAGCGCACAAATTTACTATACTCCTACTTATACTAATTTTTTTATCATTGCCTACACATTTAATTTATTATTTACATATTTTTATTGGAGCATATGTCACACCAAAAGTAAAATAGAATAGAAAAACAGTATCAAGCACGTATGAATTATGGTTTGTGCTACTGGGATAAAATTACCTGCACTAATGTCTTTAGGATTTATGATCTGATTCTTCCCCGTTGGATTTTTTAATATTTTGCACATTTAAGCATTATTCTTTTTGAAAATTTCCCTATAAGTGGATTTTTCAATTTTGTGCATGTGAAGTTTATGTTGGAATGTCTTCATTTCAAGTTAACTTTAGTAAGCAAAAGATCTCCATTAACGAGCCTACTACATTTATATTTTTCCAAATCTAAGTTTTCTTATTTGTCATCTTATGTGTAATATTTTTTTTGATTACTTTGTAATTATTAAAATGAGAAAAATACATCTTCTTTTTAACAGATTGTAAAATCTTTCTTCCAAATTGAAGTAAATCCTCTTAAAGTCTTAATGATGGTGGTGGTATCTGTTGTAAATGATGATGTTTACATTTTTGTGTTATAAAGTGATAGGAACCAGTTGAATAATTTATCCTTTCGTTGGATCAGTGTACAATTTTCCTTATTATCAAATAAATCGAACATTTGTTATATTAAGACTAGAAATTAATTTTGTTTAAATGCTGGCATTGTTTCAAAACCGTGTCAGGCTTTTGAGATCACAATTAAAAGACGAGAATATTATTCTCATTAAATTATCTACATCTAAAAGGATTATTTATGGTTTGGAGGGAGTGAGTACAAAAACTGTTTCAAGTTTTAAAATTGAAGTTTTTTCACAATTGCATGTACCTCTGCAAGGCTTTTGATTTTCAACGTATGGAACTTTTTTCCGTTAAGGAAGTTGGTAGCATGTATGAGGTGGTAGTCTGAAAGAGCACGGTAGGTGCTTTTTATGTTTGAAAGTGTGCGGTCGGGCGTTGAAGTGTTGGAACAAAACTTTCTCGATATTATTATCCTATCTCACATGCAGTTGTTTAGTATTTTTTAAACAAAGCTTACAAGGCTACAGGAATAGGGTCTCCGATTTTAATAAAACTTTTTATTATAAAACCAAGTATAACATAAGTTCAGCGACACTAGGTAGAAATATATTTGACATGTGTCCGAGCAACAAAATTTTGTCTTTATGCAAATGTATAAGTGAGACAATAAGAATGAACAAAAACTAATCATTTGTGTTATTAATTATTATCTTCTATTCTAATTTATTTACGGAGACCAAGTTTTTACCATTATGTGTAGTTTACGAATTTCGAAAGTCTTGTCACTTTCCTCTGGATCCGTAAAATAATTCCAAAATTATCGCTATTGTCGTGATTTTCGAAAAAAATAGGGTGCATTTTGAAATAACGGTTTAGAGGCTTTTTAACAAGTCATTTAAAGAATTTGATAATAAAAAAACAAAATAGTAGTTTAAAATATAGTACAAATATTCAAAGTAGTTTAACATATATGTTTTATAAGAAACAAGTTTGATTTTCGTTGTTTTGCTCCCCCAAAGAATCCTTGAATATAGATTGGTGTGAGAATCAAAAAATATTTTTTCTCTTTAAAATTTTTCGCCAGCCATATCCCTCCGATTTTTTTTTCAAAAATCACATAATTGATTTTATCTCAACTAAAAACCTTAATTAATTGAAAGATATTAATTGGTCAAGCGGACCACAAAAACTGGTGAATTTAATAAGTAAAAATGAAGTATACCTTCACTAAAGCTCTCCGTGGCCATTTCATTTGTCGCCGAGAATCAAATTTGAAAAATGGCAAAAAGGTGGGAAAATTTAAAAGGTGGAGTTGAGATGGGCAGTTAGTGTCCGAGTGGATCCAAGTCACGACAGCTCAAGTGGTAGAGCAGCGGCGTATCTAGTGGGTTCGAATCTCACTCGTGACACTGACTTTTTTACCTCAACTAAAAACCTTAATTAATTGAAAGATATTAGATAATGATAGATTAGACCAGATTGACCAGTTAGTCAAGCGGACCACGAAAACTAGTGCATTTAATAATTGATAACCAGTCTACTGATCAATAGGAATTTTACGGAGATTTAGAACTCTATAGTGTACACGTACTGGTACAACCCTGGCCTCTTCAAATTAATCAGAACCTGAGATATAAAATAAAACGTTTGGGCAATTTTAGTTGATTTCATGCTGTTTGTTTACACTTATAATAATGTAAAAACCAAATATTGCTGATTTAGGCTTCAAATACCACTCGGACAGGAATCAAATATTTTTCGATCTAATATAACCAAACAAAGTTTCATTCAAATAGCTTTTCTCGAAGGAACTTAGTTTATCTTTCTTTCAAATTTACCTTATCCATTACTTCGTACATTCATTTGTAACATCAATTTCATTGCAACATCGATATAGACTTTTGTTAATAGTGATTCAACTTTTTTCAGCAGCAAACTCATAGTAAACAACCTATTATAAATCACAACAAAAAACTTTGAACCTAGTTTTTTTTGTTAGAACCTACTGATCTTTGTACTTACTCTGTCCTGATATGTTAAGTTCAACCAATCAAGGACCAAAATTATCAGTAACGATTAAATAAAAAGCATTTCTCTTTTCAGGTATTTACGATGTCAATAAAGAAGGCTACCGAGTTCAAAATATGGTACCGTCCTCAATTTTGCCACAGTATTTGTCATATATGCCAGAAATCCATCCAAGAAAATAAACTGATCTGCCCTTCGTGTCAAATGGTGTCTTACTGCTGTTCAGAACACCTTGAAGAAGACTTAGACGACCACGAAGAAATCTGTGAGGCATTGAAGGAGGCCGGTAGATTGCTTTCCTCGGAACATCCCTTGAAAAAGGCCTACCTCCTGGGTCCGGAAGAGCTGAGGAATTTCAGGTTGGGGCTTGTCGGCTTGTGCTCGAGGTTCTTAGGCCGACCGCTTGCCTCTTGGGAAATCGAAGTCTGCCTCTTTCCAGCAGTGTGCGCGTCTTGCCATAAGTTCGAACTAGATCTTCAAGTATGTCAAAGTTGTTTCCACACGCGATGGTGCACCGAGCAACACAGGCCAAAAAATCACGACCTGTATTGTGCCGAACTTTCTTTATTTCGTGAAATTCTGCAGCGCAAGGTTCACGTCGTTCACCCTCCCAGCTTAGAGGAAGAACCGTCGTGCATGGAAACGATGAAAACCGACGACAGAGTGATATTCTCCCTCCTCACTGAAGTGGCGTCTTCTCCTCTTTCGATACTTCATGTCATCCCAAAAAAAGAAACCTCCGTCGTCCACGTTATCGGCCCCGAGCCACATTTCGAAGCAAACAACCTTGCTAAATGGGACATTTTTCTGTTCGAACTTTTGCCCAACACAAAACACCTTCGTTTGATGTTCGTCGGTCCGGAGATAGGACCATTACCTCAGAGGACTATTTCTCACGACGGAAGGATTTTAAGCATAACTTTTCACCAACTTCTATATCACGAATTCAAGGGAGAACGGCCGGATCTGGTGTGCGCCTTCAACCCTGGATTGTATCGCACAGCGGGCTTCGATGGAAAAGATACGTGGTCGGCTTCAATAAATGAAATGTTTTCTTTTCCGGGTGTTCCAGTCCTGATCACAGCGTACACTGTCAAAGAGATTAAACTGGATTTCGCAAGAGTTAAACAATCTGTTAAAGGGATTAAAATCGTGATCGAACCTTCGATAAACCATTTCTCGAGCCGACGGCCTCTAATGAACTTCGTCTCGGACGAAACGTCGCCCGTTGTTTATAAAAATGCATACTTTATGGTTTTAAAAGTTTAACGTTAAGCTAAAGACACTTCGGTGTTGTCAAAAAAACTATTTTTTTATAATTATTAACTCAATTTCTCATTAAGATTTTATCGAATGCTTTTAGCATTCTGAGCGTACCAAAGTGTGAGCTATATTAGGGTGACTGGCGATAAGTGTCGAAAATTTCAGCAAGTATTTCTACTCACCATATGCAACAAAAAACTTCAGAAAACGTCCTATAAACCCCTGTCCAAATCTCAACGGTAAAGAAGTAATTTCATGGTTTGTTTTTAAATTTTTCGGCTTAGGTCCACTAAATTGCTTATAAAAATCAGAATTACTGATTACAGAAAAATCTGGTTTGTGCCACATGAAATATCGTTAAATTTGCTGTAAGTAACCCTATTTACATTGCAGGATTGCTGAAAAATTTATGCACGAAAAATTCAGAAAAAAAATGTTGAAATTTGGAATTTTTTAAAAATGTTGGATTGGTAACTGTTATAACTACAAACAACTGGAGCTTTGCAAATTCCCTCAAAGTTCTACATTCAATTAGCTTCCACAGTATACCCACCTTTTGGATTGCGCTTCTGGAAGGCCCAAAAGTTTCGCATTTTGTTGAAAAAAAAAAAAAAAAAAAAACATACCGATGAAGTTGGGCACGTTCCATTTTTACAGGAAATCCATCTGGCTCTTGAGTTTCGTGTCAGTTCTTTAATGTTCAATTCAATCAGTTTGCTTTATGTTATTAGCTGATAACTTCGTCAGGTTTTTATAAAGTTTATAGGTAATTTAGTGGACCTAAGTCGAAAAATTAAAAAAAACAAAAACCTGAAATTCTTTACCGTTGAGATTTGGACTGGGGTTTATAGGAAGTTTTTTTTGTTGTATATGGTGATTAGAAACACCTACTGAAATTTTCGACACTTATCGCCAGTCACCATATATATATATATATATATATATATACACATAGTATTGTTTCTGATATAAGGTATGTGCTTATATCTATCATTTCTGTGTGAATGAGTTAGATGTAAATTTAAAAAAAATAAACGGTCTAAGACAAGAATTGCTTTTATTATGTAAATAAAATGTTTGTAATTTGTTAAATGAGAATTTTTACCTTAATTAAACCTTCCCACGTTTTGAAGGTTTCTGCTGTTAGAAAATCCGGATTTTAGTAAGTACATACCTTAATAAAATCAACTCGATTTTACATCATACATTTCATGGGTATTCCATTTTATTTTTGTGTATAGAACAGAGTCTAAAAATACTTTTCATTGTGAACATTTTTCCCTTTTTTTTTAATTTACTGTGTATGGAAAACTGAATTTAGATAGAAACTTCAGTTTCTTCTGAGTGTTCCACTCCTTAGAGCTGAAGTGAGTTTCAATGTCGTGGGGGGAATAAAACTTTGAAAAGAGGCAAAGAGTCCACTACCTTGATTATGAACTTTTGACGTAAAGACAATCTGCATCTTTGAATTATTTCCATTAATTATTGCCGGCTTATACTAAAAAAATAAAGCCTATATATGTAACAAATTTTTTGTAATTTTAGAAACCTGAGCACAGAACGTGTTAATTTTTGTTTTAAAGCCTAAACACGTCCTTTCTGCCCAAACGAATGCTATTACGCTATTAAATGAAAAATAATTATTATACTACAATAAATAAAGGAAAATAATAATTCTTTTATAAATAATTAAATACTTTGAAACTTACACTGAGATTTGTAAATTAGTTTAAAGCCTTGGTTTTTCGACGGACATTCACCCCCGATCGGGCTGCATAGTCGAAGCTATAGGTAGTATTTTTTGCCACATAACCTGTACCTGTGTGGTTCAGTTTCATGAACCTTAAAAATGTCATTAAATATAGTTTGAAAAAAATAATAATCATTGATAATTGGGGTGGCTATGGACGTAGGATAAACGATTTTAATAAAATTTTTGGTAGTTACTAGGTCAAAAAATATTACTCACATGCCTAATAGAAATTATGAATGATGGAGTGAGTGTGGAGTTCAATCCTTTTTAAAAAGATGGCGACCGAGGCAGATCGTAAAATTCGGTGATAAAACAATAACTGAGCACATTCTCCAAAAGTGGTTCAAAAAATTTGATTCTGCGAGTGAGGGGATTAAACATGAACAACGGACTTCTTTTTTGACTGGGGCTTTCGACATCTAAGTCATTTCAGACCCCAACTAAGTCTATATTCTATTTAACTTTCAAACACTACATTCATACAAATAAATACATTCATACACATAAATACATCCATACAGTACACACACTCATTCCGTTTGGTCGGTGGAGTACTTGATATTCCTCCACCGACATGTACTTAAGCTAATCTAGATTGGGTTCGATGGAGTACTTTTATAAATATTCCGCCATCGACCCCGAACAGACACTCTTACGCTCTCTACGTTCGAGGGGCGATGATGACGTTATATTTCACCCTCACCCCTCACAATTCACGCTAATAAATACATGCACTCAGACAAAACATTGGACAGCACATAAGACATATTATATACAATAAAAAAAAACAATTTCCCCTAAAAAGCGGAACAGGGGACTCTGAAACTCGCTACCGTGTTCGAGAACTCTTCTTAAGTCCGGCGGCATGCCTACACACTCTCTCTGTGGAGCCAAGGCATGACACGCCTCTATTATGTGGGACACATCGCGGGCTTTGGCCCAAAAGCAGGTGCCCATGAGTCATGGTCTATTAGACCTTTTGTTTTGAATGACGACGGATTGAGGGAAGCTATCAAATTTAATTAGAGCCAACAAGCTAGAAGCTCGCTAGAGAACCGTTTGCTCTTGCTTACATCGACTTGGGAAGACGTGGAAGATGTGCATATGTGTTCCTCAAAAATTGAGCGACGCTAATGAGCTTCAGCACATTAACTGAAATGAAAGTTTGATATCCGGATACTTGAAAACAACAAACTTTGAATAAGAACTATCTTTCAAAGAGATTAAGAGAATAAGTTTCAGCATCTAAACATTTGCCTTTCATTGCTGATATTGCCCAAACTAGAGATGTTTTGTGGGATGAAAAATGCATCCTGTACAGTAACATCAGGACATCGTACCATTTGGCTGTCACCAATGATACGACAATCGAATATTCATCAACAAAAGATCACGTTTTGTGTTTGGCGAAGTACTTTTTTCAACTTTTGAACCACTTTGGTGGCCACATCTAGTTCCCACTTTACCGCTAGATGCCACTACAGCTTATGGAATGTTATCGCCCACCACTCTGCGGCCAATTAGAGTAGAGCCCTTTCGGATAAAGGAATGGGCACTGCCCGCTGACTCCAGAAGTCCAGACGCGTCGGAGACTCGTCAGTCGTCCCCTCAACGAGGGCTCATTAATCACTAATATTCTTGGGGGAAAAAAACAAAACAAAAAAAAAACGTAAAAAAAGTGACCTATGTGCATTTACATCAAAAAAGACAATACAAATTTTTTTCGATTTTTTTTCGGGTTTTTTGCGTTTTTCTTGACAAAAGCGTAAAAAAACGTGTCCTACGAGCCTTTTACATCTTTTCAAGAAAGACGCAAAAAACCCGACAAAAATCGAATTTTTTAAAATTCTTTTTCGATGTAAATGGCTCATAGGCACGTTTTTTACGTATTTTTCAAGAAAAACGATTAAAAAAACCCAAAAAAATGAAAAAATTTCCACGTCCTCCTCGTCCCTTCGTTACGAGACGGTGGAAAAGGAGGTGGGGTACACTAAAATAAAGGATTAAGGGACCAAATTTAAATTATTAAAATAAAAAGTACTTCTATATTTTTAAACAAAATATAAATAAATGCTGAGAAACAGTTATATCCAAAGGATGCCTTTCTTCGTTTATTTTAATTACCCTGCACTTAACTGGTGGTATCCTCCGCAGCAGGTCTGTCCCTAACAATGTCCTTACCGCACCTGGCGCTAAACGGCCTATCGCTGGCGGTGTCTCCTTCCCCAGTGGAAAAGAGTAGCCACGCCCCCGCTTCCACGGTTCACGTGTCGCGCGATCTCCTGAGTCGTGACACCATCCCCCTTCTGAAATTCTTCCTAACCCTGCAGAATATGCACTTGGTGCTGAATGCTATTAAGTCCATCATCGCCATATCGAGTGAAGAGGAAGACCTGGCACTCCTTGAGTGCCTGGAACGAGTCAGCCCTCTCACCTATTAGCTTAGGTGACTGGCCAGGAATTTCAGGGATAAGCTCTCCCCAGGAGACACCCGAGACACGGTGAGATCGGCCGCAACAATATTCTAATTTATATATTGTGTTGCTGGTAGTTAAAATACAGCTGCTGAGATGAAGACTACTCAGATAAGTGCATACTGTTTTTCTTCTTTGATTGATGACAAAAATGACCTATGGAAATGTGTTTTGCAATAATGAACTGTTTTGTTGATGATTTTGTGAGAGGTCTATTTATACAAGTTACCCACAATTAATAGCATAGATACTCAATTTTCATTCGCAACTAGCATTATATAACAATGGAGAGATAATCCTCAATATTTTATAATCAATCCAAAACATTACGTCAAGAGACTAAATCTATATGCTCAATTGTAAATTGTATTAAACGCTTTTTTATTTATAGCACTGCCTGCAAAGTAGACGCACGAGGATTTTAAGGGGATGATGTTTAGAGAACGGGTTAATTTCTGAGTCATATATTACATATATTTGCAAAGAAATTAACTAAGTAATATGAAAAATCAGGCCAAAAAACTCTCCACAATGGCTTTACCGGCAGCGCAATGTTATTTTGCTATATATGTAATAAACCTCAATAACATATTTCTTATTCATATCAAAGAAAATATAACATTATCGATTATTAATTGAGAGGAAAAATACTATAATATAAAATTTTGAGATCACACAGCTATCGTGTAAAAATCCCGAATTCTTTTATTGCTTTCTTTATCATTTTTATCTAAAATTTATTTTTTATACTTATATATTCTAAAAAGTAATTTTTAAAAGAAATTAAACTATTTATAAGTAATGTGAGGATGATATTTATCAAGTTTTTTACTAAGTTAGTAGAAGTGATAGTAAAATAAAAGCCTATATTGTGTAAATATAATTACCAAGTGTTATAAAAGTTAATTCTGCTTTAGTAGTACAAGATCAGCTTTAAATAATCATTAAGACAATATTTTATATATTGTAGTCATTTTTATATATGCTTTTGTTTGTTAAATTATAATTAGCTGCAAGTGATAGAATTTTGCTTGAAAAATACCCGAATTTAATAGATCTTGATGTGTGTTGGTATCCGCATAAGTGACAAATACTTCTTCTTCCAGATATATCTTGTATAGTTACAAAGTCGCCTGCGTCATAACTCTACGAAACGCAGAATTTATATCAGTTGAAAGCAATTATGCTGCGCCGAAAGTCTGGCAGAAAAAGCGGAAAAATTGCCAAAAAGCACAAGTAGTATTTGCAAATATTGAAAATGATATATCTGCAAATGAGTGTAGAATTGCTGCCAAGCTAATTTTTGTACATTTAACTTTATGCAAAAATTTATTTGCGCGGGGCAAATCAATTTTTGACGGACAGGCTATATCGACAAATCTATTACGTATCAAGAGATTTTAATGTGTCTTTTATGATGATTGGTTTTTGGTGAAAACAGATAAACTCTATTATTTACTTCCACTAATTTTCGTGGTCCGTTTGACCAATTGATATCTTTCAATTAATTAAGGTTTTTAGTTGAGATAAAAAGTCAGTGTCATGAGCGGGATTCGAACCCACGACCTTCGGCTAGATACGCTGCTGCTCGACCACTTGAGCTATCGTGACTTCGATCCACTCGGACACTAACTTCCCATCTCAACCCCACCTTTTGAATTTTCCGTCCTTTTTGCCATTTTTCAAATGTCGTGTAATCTATTATTTACTGCGCTTCCAGTTGCATCTCTATTCCGTTTTTGAACTAGAATTAATAAACATGAAATTCATTATAGTTCTTTGATTAAATCGCGTTTAAGGTTGAGTCGTTTTGACTTGTGTTAAATTAAGTAGATATTTTATATTATGCATGATCTGACAGCCAATAAGGTTGCTTTTGAAAATTATGACAATGTAGTGGTGAGGTGGTTTACTCTTGCCTCTGTCATTTGGGCTTTTATTGGAATGCTTGCTGTTTATCTAGCACTAGAGCTTTCTTGAATTTTGACCTTCCATGGTTAAATATTGGTAGGCTGCGCCATTCCATACATCTGTGACTCGATTGGAAAAGGACTTAAGCTTGTAAACCACCGAGTTTTCTAGAAAAACTCAAAAAAACTTTTTAAAAAATTGAAAAAATTTTATGCACGTACAAAACACGGTTACTGCAATTATGTATTTTTTATTTTTTTCCAAAAAATTAAAACTCCAATTAAACATTTTAGAATCAAATTTTTCCGTTTTACATGAAAAAAATTAATCTGGGTTAATACTCAAACCCCCCTTCCCACAAGCCGCGACTTCGTAACTTTTATACCTTTATTTCATAAATTATACCGAAATATGTCCGAACCCCAATACCTAAGAACATGTTTGTTTGAAAATGCTGTCTGGTGAACTACGGTTATAATGGTGAATTTTTCAGAAGGCTGTTTTGTGTTGTTTTGATGAATTTCTTCTTCCTTTTTTCTTAAATTTTCTGTTTTTTTTATTTTCAATTATGAGAGATAACCTACATATTGTTATCACTGAGACCATCTGGGGTAGGTTACGTAGCCGACTAGGTTGTGTTGTCAACGAATGCATCATTTTGTGGCTGTTACTCGTCCTGTCCTGTGAACAATTGAATTTAAAGCAAATTTATCCACCAATTTAAATTGGAGGCTTTGGCTCTGATCTATTGAATCTAGTGACTCCAATATGACAAGGAGGCTCGACCCGAAAAAAGTGGTAAGAGCTAAAAGTTTTATCATTTCCTCTTCATTGTCGTGACACCCCTGCAGATAACAAGAAATACAAATATTTGTTTTTGTTGCTGTCAAATTTCGTTTTAGGCCTGCTAGGTGAAGTAATTCTATAGTGTTTATTCATAAAAATACGAAGCTAAAACATTATATTTTATAATCAGTGGTAAAACTACCAATGATTGCTGTTATCAGAAACATTTTATGATTCCCGAGGACTTAGAATGTCATTTATTAACACATTCCTAACATATCCATCCCTCTACTGTCTCATTTATTCTAGAGACTAGTATTCATGCTCTGTGTTATTTTTATGTTAAAATCAATATCTCAATCTAAGAGCAACTGGCTTTACACTATGTTGCTATCCTCCTCTTGCAGGCTGGATACAAATGTTAACAGACTGTCTAAAGTGATAACTATTGATACCTTGGGCTGTTAAGAAATTGGCTTTTACACATCATGTCAGAAATAGAATTAATAAGGGCAAAGCCACAATTAAGATATTATATTCTCGTGTCTGTGCTGATAACTAGTTAGTTATTGACAGCTTTGTATGCTTCTCCTTGAATCTGAATGACCAACAGCAGATAAATTTTTCGCCCTCCACATATTACTAACGCTTCAGACCCACCGCACACTAACATTAAAACATAGCACAAACAAATATTTATTGGTAAAAACAATGAGACAAATTAAGGGCAGAATTTTCTTTTATCGAGAAAGTGAAAAAAAAATCAATTTGGTGGAATTTTTTGCCTGTCAATGTATATTTATTTAATTTTATATTACAAAAAGAAATTGTTTTTACAAGTGAGGTTTATTTCCAACCAATGTTAGGTTGTTGTGAGCAAGGGTTTTATAATGGGTCTAACTGATTTTTCCATCAGTTACCATATTTACTTTAATTTGTGTATTTCCACTGTGTAATTATTACAGAATTCTGAGCTCTTCACTTTGACTTACGGAGCGCTTGTATCCCAATTGATGCGAGACTATGAAAACATTGAAGATGTGAACAAACAACTGGACCGAATGGGGTACAACATCGGGATCCGTCTCATTGAAGACTTCCTGGCCAAAACAAGCACAGGGAGGTGTTTCGATTTCAAAGACACTGCTGAAAAAATTCAGGTAATTATCATCTTAAATGTCAGACAAAGAGAAATTAATTTGGTTTTTGGCATTTCAGATGGCTTTCAGACTTTATCTTGGCATAACGCCAGCTATTACAAACTGGAATGCTTCTTGTGATGAGTTTTCACTCCAATTTGATTCCAGCCCTCTGACAGAATTCACAGAACTGCCAGACAATTGTTTGGGACTCAAGTATTGCAATATTCTTACTGGTGTTATAAGAGGGGCATTAGAAATGGTATTTGTCTTTCTGGAGTATAAAAGTAGAGCTTATAATTTTTACTGATTTTTGTCGATGCATTACAGGTCCAAATGGATGTTACTTCAGTATTTGTACAAGATCACCTTGTTGGTGACAGCTGTACAGAGCTGAGGTTAAAATTTAATAAGAGATTAGAAGATGCCATACCTTCAGGTGAAGACTAAGCAAAGTGCAAAGGAAAGTTACAGTTAATATTACATAAATTCAAATTTTTATTTTATTTTTTAAATATTATATACATAAAAGTATTTATATAATATACTTCAATAATTTTTTCTTCCTTTATTGTATTTTACTATATTCATGCATCATAAATTTATTGAATAGCTTAATTATAAATCCATCTGATGAATTAATTACTTATCTATTGCCATACAAGAACCATTTTCTGAATAAAAAATCATTTACTGGATTTTGTTTTATAACAAAAATCTTTCTGCTTTTCCTTAAAACTGGTCATTAAAACTTTCTACCTTTACTACACTCTTTGGTGGACTATGAACATTTATTTTTATGAGTAATTTATTATAATTATCAAACTAAGCAACACCTCACAGAAAACTTTCATGACCATTAACTACCAGATAGATAGATGTATTAGTTGGGGTTTGTATTATACTGCTCCCTTTAATAGCTATTGTATACCCTGTGTACTTATAGCACACTGGTGAGTCTTAATTAGTCTAAGGAACTCAATTAGTAGGCCCGGTTTCAGTGGTTGAATCACTTCTACAGCTACATTGTACATCCCAAACACTTCCTCCTGCAAGTAAGTGTATCACCATAGTTTGTTAGTAGGTGTGTTGGTGTCTCCTCTGCCTCTTTGCAGAATCTGCATATGCCATCTTGGATTATTCCAATCTTCTTTAAGTGTCATTTAGCTTGCAGTATCCTGTTAAGAATCCTGATAGGATTTCCAGTTTATTCCTGCTTCCTTTGACACATAACTTCTTTCCTTACGAAATTTTTAGGAGATTCTTGGATTGTCTTTGGATTGGCTCGGGAATTATCAACAGTGCAGCAGCCCCTCTTCTTGCAAGGGCATTCGCTTTCTTGTTGCCTTTTATTCCTACGTGTCCTGGGACCTAGCAGAGGCTGACTGTTTTGCATATCTCATTTATTTGACAATTCTGCACCATCTTTTTCTAATTGTGTTTGAACTTAGCATGTTGATGGCTCTCTGACATGATAGCTATATTCTTGTTTTTGTACCCTTTATTCAGATTGAATTGGGTACATCTTGAGTGCATGGATCTCAGCTTGGAAGATAATGGTGTATTTTCCCTTGGGTTCTGAGTATTTGGTTCCAGGACCAAATACTCCTGTCCTGTACCTTTATGCAGTCTAGATCGATCTATGTACCAGCAGATGGTGTCATTCTTAAATGGGGTGTCACAGATGAGGGATGAACTACTGTACAATGCTTTTTTTGTGCACTATTCTAATTAAAGTTCCATCCAAATCATAATTAATGATATGGAGCCAGACGCCTTAAACACTCAGCCACCCTCAATGTTCGCTAAATGAAATCTAGTTTCTGGGAATAAAAGCATTTTATTAAGAAAACAAATTAATATCAGGAGGGACCACACTACTACATAGCTGAAAAATGATTATCTGTAAGGTTCATTTCAACACCCTATTAACTGTGATAAACTTGTACATATATTTAAATCTTATGTACATAAAGAAACATGTAAGAAATTATGAACCTGTAAATAATGTACATAACTATAATACTAGAAATAAAAATAAATTAGCACTGCCGATCTGTACAAAGACAACACTCAGTAGAAGTTATGAAAACATTGGCATTAAATTGTGTAACATCACTGCCTGTAAAAGACTCAAAAAATGATTGTGAATTCGCTACTAAAAAACCCTCTCTATAGTCTTCAAGAATTTTTTTTGATGCCGGCCTTGAGCCTTTCTTCCCATTTACACCTATTTGTAAAATATTAAAATGTATAAACTCTTCTTAAATATAAATAAATATACTATTCTATACTATACTAATAGTATTCTACCATTAATTTTCCCTTATAAATGATAAAGGTGGAGTATGTTGTTTAATCTTTCTTTGAAGTAGGATCTTTCTTACAGTTTGTTGTTTTTAATGATCTGGATTTTAAGCTTAAAGCTCAAGTAGTTACAACCATGCTTGTCAACCTGATGACGAGCTTTAAGCTTGAAATCTGGATGTGAAAACAACAAACTGAATACGATCCAGCTTTTAAAAAACAAAAATTAAAAAATCAATTTTTTCACACTAACTACACTTCTCGCTCTCCCATATACGGGATGATGCATCTGGTCAATATGCTACCCAACAGTGTAGATGTTAATAATGCATTTATAGCCAGTTTGAAGAGAAGTTTTAGAGGAACTTTTACAACAACAGTCAATTAGTACATTTTGTTTATGTGTAAATGTTTGCAGATGTGTATGTATACCGGATGATTGATGATGTTGGATGATTGTTGTTGTCTATATATAAATATATTGTACATACAATTAATTAATCTTATTTACAATTGTTTTTATTTACTAGTCAAATCCTAAATATTTTTGCATTCAAATATTGGTATCTAAATTTTACTGTATTAATGCCAATGTTTTATATTTTAATGTTTAAAATATTCTTTATCTTTTTTGTAATTATTGTAATAAAATGGGCTATTGCCTGTAAATAAATAAATAAATAAACAAATTATGATTTATGGAGCCGATGCATTGGAAAAGTCAAGTAGATCAATTATCAATGCCTAGGCGGATATCTATATATTTTTGCCTGTCAGTGTGTATTTATTGTACAAATAATAAATTCAAAAGACTTTAAGGCTAAAGAGGCCATTTGAATTTCACACCCATCATTGAATAAAAAGTTCATAAGATTGTATTACATTAGAGGCAGGAAGAAATAAATATAAAATAAACATGTATTATATATTTCAAAATATTCCATCACAGCAATAAAAGCAACAAATTTGGATCACAAATTAAGGTCCAATTAATTTTTTTATATAGGTTTTGTTAAAATTTGTAGTATGTATTTGTATTTACAATATAAAAAAAAGTAAAGCAACAATATTTTAGTGGTTTCTTTCTTTTATCACCTAGGGGCTAGGATAGAGATTAAATATTAAAAATTTAAACAAAGCTAATTTTTTGAAGAGATAAAAGCAGTAATTAAAAATATAAACAATTAATTTCAATGGGCAACGCATTTTCTTAAACACCAGATGAAAGACATTTAAGATTTTTGTAACTAGAAATGGGAGCAAAGGATCATGAATTTTCATTTATAAAGGATATCACCTTCATAATTGAACAAATCTGACAACTACACTAGCTCCTTTTAACATTTAACTAAAATAATGCATAGAATTCAAAGAATGGTACATAATAAATTACATTTAAGCGAACATTTATGTTTTAAATGTGGAATACAAAGCAAGAACAATTGGAGCGACGTCAAAAATTAATTTCAGGTTAGTACTTAAATAACTTACTTAAGACTTCATCCTCACACATAACATCAAATATTATTAAATCAACTAAGAATTTTAAAAATATAAATACGGAGACTTGTGGATCAAAGGTAAGGATTAGTTGGAACAGACAACGGAGAATCATGGAGCTTCTGATAAATTGACTGGACGTATGTAAAGACACATTTCCAATCTGGTTTTCTCATTGTCACCATGTCCTCAACATCAAGAAGTGGATAAATGTCTGCTTTTTCCCTGAAAATTAGACAAATTATAAGAACATGCATCCCTGGAAAAAAAGTAACAATAAAGTAATGAAACGTCAATATACTCAGCGACTCTGAATGCGAGCTCGAAGTTGTGCCTCCTTTTGTCTGGTGTGAGGATGGCGAAGTCAAAAGCATCAGGGCAAAAATGATGGATGAGTGCACAGAAAGCAAGTCCGTCGCTCCAACTTGTAGAGAAATTATCTATTTGGACGTTCTGAAAAAAGAAAAGAAAATAGAGTTGTAATTAAACTACTATAAACAATGGAATACTGTTTAACAATATTTAGTGACAAATAAGAACACCCATAGTTAGGAAAATCCTGCAAAATATAAGCTAAAGATTGTTTACAAAGAGAAGCTCATTAAACAGGTACCTTGTCTTAGAAAGATATTCATAAGTTGTCCATTTTATTGTTAAATTTGATAAACGTAAAATTCAAATGAAAAAAGCTATATACACAAAAACACCTTAAAATACATGGCCATGCATGAAAGTGTATACATAACATATTGTACATGCTTGTGATTTGATTTCCTTAGTAATAACATTGAAAATAAGAAAATCTTATAAAAGAACCATCTCATGCATTATGTTGTTTTTATCAATTCAAAAACGAAAATATCAAAAGTTTGATGTTCAGACAACAAAACAAAAACATTGTCATTAACCAATGCCAACGTTCCCAACAGAATGAGGAAAGAAACGTCTAAACCAATAAACGCATCAACCCACAAAAGAAAGAATCCCATTTTCACAGGTGTGCAAATGCAACATTGAACACAAAAAGCCACAAATTTCCCTTGAGAACTGAAAGCAGAGTACCTTGTATTCTCTTGTTTGAGCCTGGACCCAGCCGAGCAACCTTTCTTTAACTGTCGATGCACTTGTAGGAAGTCTAGGCTCGGTTAACCTTAAAGTCCGCCCACAACTGCATCCAGGCAAAAAAGCATTGTTAAATTCCTTACAGACACCCCAAAAACCCATCCGCATTGTGTATTGCAATATTTTACATTGAACCCTACTGCTAAATTGAGCCCACTTTTTCCTCTTAAATATTCACATAACATAATTTATTGTTTAAATATACAAAACTGTTTGGATTTGAAAACTTTGGGAATTATCTCTTAAATTAGGCAAAAAGCAACTTTTTTTTTTTTTTTACAAATAAAGACTTAACTATAGGGATGGTGAATGATGGAGTGAGTGCGGTGTTCAATCCTTTTTTTTAATTTTTTTAATTTTTTATTTTAAAGATAGTTCTTACTCGCATTAAGTTGTTTTCCAACAATCCGGATTTCGAGCCCTTAGCTCATCATCAGGTCGAAGGATTTCTACAACCACGTCTCTCGACATGAATTGCGAAACTGAACCCGCCGATACCACCGCCAACGCGACGTTCCCATGAGAAACTGGCTTTTAATGCCGCTCAATTTGAACGTGCGAAAAGCGGGAATTATAACAAAAGTAAATATTATACTAGCAGTATTTTATGTGCTATAATTCCCGCTTTTCGCACGTTCAAATTGAGCGGCATTAAAAACCAGCTTCTCATTGGAACGTCGCGTTGGCGAGGGTATCGGTGGGTTAACTTTCGCAATTCATGTCGAGAGACGTGGTTGTAGAAATCCTTCGCTCTGATGATGTGCTAAGGGCTCGAAATCCGGATTGTTGGAAAACAACTTAATGTGAGTAAGAACTGTCTTTTTTTAAAAAAAAGGATAAATATAGGATGTGTATCATGCAAAGCAAATCCTACCAAAGTAAGTTTCACCAAGAAGAGACATTTTACAATCAAGATTCGTGAATAGATCAGAATTAGCTGTTTCTATGCTATTTTATACAACGAGGTTTACCTGGGGGCTGAGTTTTGTCGCTCCAACTGCTTGAATTTAGCAAATGGGGATTGCACGCTGTTTGCTAAAACATAAATAACAATACAATTAATTAAGGTTTTTAGTTGAGATGAAAAATGATAATTGGTCAAGCGGACCACGAAATTAGTGAATTTAATGGAATGAATTGAATGAATAAATAACAATGTGTGGTGATTAGTGACCGTTAGTCGGTAATTACACAGAAATCGTGAGATGCGGTCTGGTGTGATGTAGTTTTCAGAAAAATATTTTCTTTATCGTGGCAACGTTTCGATCTTTATTGATATCATCTTCAGGGCTCAAAGTGTTTGTTTTCTGCGTAAGTGTGCCATTCTTTCGTGTCGTGTTGAGAGTGGCCTAGGTTTTTCTGAAACCTACATCACACCAGACCGCATCTCACGATTTCTGAATAATAAATAACAATTTTACAAATTTCCAAATAGATTACATGAACTTGATGTTTAACTTAAAAACTACATAAATATTAAGTTCATAAAAGCAACATTTTTCATAATAATTTTATACATTTTGGATATGACTAAGACTTTTCTAATTAAATAAATGATAAATTTAATATATATTAATTAAACGACACATACACCATCATGATTACGCGGCTTGTCTCAACAAATTATAATTTGTTATTAAATTAGTGCATGTATTTTATTATTGATTACAAAAAGTTTAGCTTTGAAAATTTAAACTTGAATCAGTCCATTGTACACCATACGATCGTTAATGAGAAATATCTACCAAACTATAAAGATATTAATGGAAAAAAATACAAGGTCGCAATCCTATCAATTTCAGGTCAGGATGCATAAAACAAAATGAAGAGGAAATTCTGCTATTGTTTGAATGAGAGTTGTGCGCGCAAGATTTCTTTCTTTTTTCAGTAGTGCCGGAGCAGAAAAATGAAATGAGGTTTATGTTTATGTTAATGAGGTTATGTGAGGGTTTTTTAGTGACACTACTCACAAACTGTGAGTATGAACTATCTATTAGAAAGATTAAACAACAAACTCACCCCACCTTTATCATATCTATTAATTTGTCTAAAACCTTTCACTAAATTCTGTATGTCTATATAAGTTATGTACCAGTATAATTACATTATTAAATAAATAAGTTGATGACAATGCTAGGGCACAATTGTTGTTCCTAGAATCGTCATCGGCACTCTCTCCCACCCTAGAGATTTTGGAATCATTTGTTAGTTAACTAAGTTGTAAGTCTAAAGTTAAATTTTCATGAGAGCATATCAGATAAATTTGATTCTGATTCCTAGATTAGGAAATGTATATCAGTAATAATTTTCTTTGAATAAAAGTATTAAAGACCGATTCATCAAAAGAAATTATTTAACTTATATAAGTCGCAAGCTGTTGTTATAATAGTACTATTTTTATTATTTATAGTTTTATTTGTATAATATTTTAATCTTATAATAGAAAGACGAATTCAAAAATGATAAAATAATTGTTATGACATTTACCTTTTGTCAATTTTGCAGTAGAAGACGTGACTCGGGTGTGAACTAAAATTGAAAGAAAATCATTAGCAAAATTAAATAAATAAATACTAACAAAAATGTTGAAATGTTTTATTTTTATTTTAATGAAAAATAAATAAATACCCTTAGCCCTAGAAAATCCATCGCCTTCGGTTTGTTCTAATTCAGTATGTTCTGAAAAAAATTTCAACTGTAAATATCTAAGTAAAATAATAATAATAAAAACAACTTATATGGTAAACAGGCGTAAATGGGAAACAATAAAACGGCACATTTTAACATGCAAAAACATCGTTTCCAGTTAGGATCACGATTTAATGATTCACCAAATGTTTCAAGCCGAAGACATTATTTTCTCAAATTGTGTTAATTTTGAACATTTACTGTGTACATGCTTATAAAACTGTTTGGTTCACACTCCTTTAAGATTAGTAATTATGCATTTTATGAGTATTGACGTGTAGGAGTTATTAAAGCACCCGTGATGAGTGGAAAACGGCTAAACTGGCCGTCTATGGAAATAATTGAGAGTAGACCTTTTTTTGAAGAGAAGTTTTTAAAAACAGGCATCTGGCCCCGAAAGCCTCTGTTGTGAAAATCGAATCGATAACGATGAATTTATGGCAAATTGTGATTTCACAATGGCCAAAATTATTTAAAGGATTTGTTTGCAATCAAGTTTGTCACAGGTTGTATTTACTTCATAGGCTGTATTATTTTGAGAAAAATAAGAAAACATCTATAAAACGTTTAATTTATTAATATTTTTCTACATTATTTGTAAGATATGATAATGTTACTGTTGAAATTTAGTAAAAATATTTGGGAAGCACTATGTTTTACAATTTAATGGATGAAAAATTGGAAATAGAAAAGCATTAAATTATGGCAAGGAATCAATTGAAAAAAGACACTCTTTTAACCACCTTGCAGAAAAAACGATTTAATTTTACCACTATCAAATAACATTTTTTAGAAATACAAATGAAATGTATCCAACATTGTTAACATGTATACGGGAGCCTCTCAAAAAAAATTGTGAATTAAAACATGGGCGTCACATATCCCCAATTTAAAAATATACAGAAACAAAATTAAGGTTTTAATTATTTTTAATTTAGTTTTTGTAGTATACGTAGTTAATGTTAAGTTTGGAACGTGTATAAAGGAAGTTTGGGTTGTAATGTCTGGCTTAGTAAACACCAACTAATTCTAAATAAAATGTCCTGTAGTGGGTATTAAAATAAGATAACAATAATTAAAAGTGTAAAACTAAAATGATCTCAAAACGTTAAAAAAAGGTTTGAATTACACATTGTCTATTATATACATGGAACTATTAAGATTCACACATCAAAACAAAAACAAAACGGTTTGGAAATCACACGAAATCTGAATTGACTCACTTCAATTGATATACTGCTTCCCAAATACAGAAGAAACCACTTTCAAGACGTTCTTCTCTCATTTTCTACTTATGAAACTCCAACAAATGACAGAAGTAATAAAAATTATAATAATTACAATCATTTACATCTATTCAGTTTTAAAAATAATCACAAACAATTTTGAATATAAAAGAACACGAATTCGGTTTGATAATAAATAATCCAATAAAAATATTTCTTCTTTGTCCCTCAATTGTAATTGTAAGGAAAACTATTTTCTTTTAATGTTTCTTTTTTTTACTGGCCTCTTGGAATATCGATTCGAAGACTTCATCGACATTCTCCAAGTCGTCGATGTCCAGCATCGATTTGCTGGCCTTGTGCGCGTATCTACGTTGCTCGCGGTTGTTAGATTGCTTTGACAGATACTGGCTCACGGTCATCTTCTTGTTTTCGACGGTCTCTGGAGATATAGCGGATTCGAACTGCCTGGGCAGTGCCAAGGAATGGCTGGACTTCGCCTTTGATATTTTTGGCAGCGGAGGTGCTTGTTTCGCCAAGTTCATTTTCTCTTTGACCATCTGATGCCACGATTCTGACTTCTGAAGTACGTTGGGGAAGTTGGTCGGTGAGAGCGACTTTTGTCTAGCGGACTGTTGCACTTGCAGTCTCAATTCGGACTGTATGTTTTTACTGTCGTCGTACCTAGTCCTGTTCCTGTTATTGACTGAAACGGCGACTTGGCATTGGGCCTGGCCCATGACTCTGCTCACGGCTTTTTCTTCGTAGCAGTCGCCCCCATTCACCGGGTCGCTGGCTTTTTCTACCTTTATGGACGGACTGCCGGCAGGCGCCCAATTCCTCAACGGTGACACTCTGTCAGGAGTTCCGGCCGGCAGGTTGTGAGGAGTGAGGGCCGAGTTGGAAGCGAGTCGTGCGTTGACATAATTTTCCATCTGGCTCATATCCTCAATTTTATTTGACAGCCTCATTTGTGTGTTGTTGTAGTAGACTCGGCCACCGTTGTTGCTCGACCCGTCGCTGGACGGCGGAGACGTTCGGTTGATCGGTGATCTCCCCCCAGAGGTATTGGGAGACTGTTTAATGAATTCGTTGGCCCCATCACCGTCCATGGTCGGCGTCCGGCTTTTAGGAGTTATCGAGATGTATTGACCGTTTTTGAGAATAGTTGAAGTCACTGGAATGTTGGACACGTACTCCCTGTCTGTGTCTATCGTACTGGCGTCTCTCAGATTGCACAAGTAACTCCGATTATCTTGTAGTTTGTCTTCTCGAACGAAGGTAGTATTGTTCATAGGCGAGTTGCTTTCGGTTTTTGTGAAATTACTGTATCCGTTCGGTTTCGGAGCGGTCTCAGTGACTGGATGTGAAAAGTCATTAGAAAAGTTTGCATTACCCATGAATTTTAAACTATCTTTCTCTTCGCAAATAAGGCTTTGCCTTGAATTTTTATTTTTATTGACGTTCTCCTCTTCGACCTTCACGTCGGGTTTATTAGGATAAGATAGATGATGAGGCTTGACATTACTTTCCTCGCCGTTGTAAAATGTATTTGGCAATTTGTTTCGCGGTTCTTTGGGCCTTGAAGCATATTCGCAATATCGGTTCGGCCCGTCACTTTGGTAACTCTTTTCGAAATCTTCCATAAACTGAGGGATTATTTCACGTCTTTTCGGCTCGCTTAAAACCGATCTCGGGAGACGAGCGAGAGTCGGGCTGTTTATCGAGTTGGCGAACGGTGCTTGTCCCGAAGATTTCGTCGGTGAAGTAGGGTAGTTTTGTTTTCCGACCTGGGACAGGAAAGGAGATTGAGACTTTAACATTTCCTTTTGCCCAGTGCTTTTTTTAGGCTGACCGCGATAAAAGTAATTCTTTTCAACGTAAGAGGTATTTTCTGCAGGATCGAGCTTTTTATACTTAGGCTTAGCCAACTGGTTGTTAATCTGGTTATTTACAAAATGTTTTTCTTGAACTTTTTGTTTTACTTCCTGGGAAACGACATTAGAAGGGATGTTATAAAATTTGTGCGTTACATTTGAGGTATTGTTGTTACCAGCTAGGAATTTGCTTTTGTCTTTTTCTGTGTTGTTCGCGTAGGTTTTCATATTCAACGGTTTGGGTTTTTGGAGGATTGGCGTCTCGAAAGTAGAAAACTTCATAGCTGCGATTTGTTTGACCGTGCCCGACGCGGGTGAAATTAGAGGAGTCGTCGGCTTCTTTTCAATCGGTTTAAAAGCAGATTTAGGTGCGTGATTGAAATTATTGACTATGCTCGGTTTGGCAACCGTCAAAGAGCCGACTATTACACCGTCTTCTTGCGTTTTGACTGACCAAGGGAGTTTTCCCGGGCTGGAGTTAGTTTTGATTTCGTTCAGACTTTGATTTTCAGACTTCTGCCAAAAGAGCTTAGCAGGCGAAGGGCTAAAGGTATTTTTAGGAGGCGTAATGTCCTTCGACTCGAAAGTCGTCTTTATGGTCGAGAACCTGTTTCGCCAATGCTTTCCACCCCTGGCTGATGGGTTGTAAGCCGGCATTTTCGAACCTTCGCTCTCACTGACGCGTTGCAAAAAGGACAGAAATTTGTGGTCGTTTTCCGTTTTGGGCTCGAAGCTGGGTGGTCTCTCCTTCTTGCCCAGATGGCCCATGTCGTCGGACCCTTTCCTGTTCTGCTCGTCCGCCGACGCACCGTGGTCGTCGGACGAGTAATCGAAAATTGTGGAACGTTTAGGTATATCGATTGTATTCGCTCTTTTCATTTTTTGTTTTTTACCAGTAAATTTAGGTTTATTGTTAGATTCTGAAGCCAATTGAAGTAAGCGGTGAACGGAAGACAACTCGTGTTTATCCTCATCGGCACTGGAAACGTCTCCATCTTCGCTACTTCCTCGTCCCTGAACCTTAGTGCTTTCTCTACAGCTTATCTGTTTGTTGATCGCCGCTTTATGCACTGCAATTTGAACTGTCTGCTTTGGTGTAAACAATCCGAGACTCGGGTCGTAATCGCAAAGGCTCCCCGTGTCGCTTAAGCTCCGCTCGTATGAAAGCTTAGGGTCAGGTTCAAAATAAGACATGGAACCGTTTTGCGGTGCAGGCTCCATAAAGAATCCTATCTTGTACAAAATCGGCTTTTGATAAGCTACTTTCAACAGAGGCAATTTGGTGTATCTGCTGATGGGGATTTTTTCTTCGACAACGGGAGGAGGGACGAATCTGACTGGACGGAACACGTTTTCCAAAAACGAACTGGTACCAGTATTTATATCGTCTGCCGTCATCGTTCTGTTCAGGCCGCATTCGTCGGCCCACATCCTCGCTTCAACCAGCTCTTCCCTGGTCACCCCGACCGTATGCCTGTTTTTAAGGGAACGTTTGTTTCCGAACTTTCTCGTCGGAGGGGTCGGAGGGGCAAGCTGCTGGTCCTTGTTGATTTTGAGGCAGCACTGCAAGCTGGAGACCAGCTGCGTGACCGCATTTCTCTTTGTCGGATCAAGCACCGGAATCACGCCTTCCAGCCTGGATAGAGCGGTCTGGACCTCCTGCATGATTTCGGGATTGATCATCCGAAGGTCTTCCCCGGATTCGGTGCCTGAATCATCGACATTCGAACTCTTATTGCTGGGCCAGATGCCGGTTATTTCGACCGGTCCGGGCACGTCGGACAGGGTTCCTTTCGCCTCACCGACACCACCTGGTCATGCAATGTACAATTATTAATTTACTCCCACAAAAAATACCGGGATCCTGTTAGTGCAAACACACCAGTTTGAAATTTTTTAAAGAAATGCAGTTTTCAGTAACACAAAACCTTTTTAACTATTTTTTAGTGTTTTGAATTTATAGTTCATCAACCACACCAAGCCAGTTTTGTAAGTTCAGTTCAAATTGTCAATGCATTAACTTAAATTATAAATATATATTTATTATCACATGTGCATTGACACGCGTATTTAAATATCTATATTTAATTTTAAAAAACAAAAGCGTGACAATTTACGAACTTTTACCTTTATCTTCTGCCATCACTTCTCGTAGCCGGGCTCGTAATTTTCTCTTATCTTCGAGATCGCTGCAAGAATCCAACTGCCAAAGAATAAATTATCAATTCGTAATTATTCCTGCCCTTCATTTCATAGAAAACTATGATCACTGTACGTTCTGGGACTCTAGTCCCCCAAGAATCAATAAATACAATTAAGGTCACAATAAGGTAACAAAAACTTTTTTATAAATCTGGCATTTGAATTAATCAAAGTTTGACTTAACCTATAGTGAAATAAACAGACATAAAACACATAATACAAAATAGAAATAATAATACAAATAAGAATTTAGGAAAAATAGTAATAATAAAGAATATTCTGTCTTGTGCGATCATAATCACAAACTTTAAATTTAAAAGTTGAGTAAAGGAAGGAAACAAGCTTTGTTATGTAGTAAAAGGACTTAATGATATTGTGGACAATGTTTTCTCTGTTTGGGGGTCGAGATGTTTATACAGGATGGATTTATAAGGGGTAAGAGAGGCAGCTTTGAGGATTGGGAAAGGAAGAGAATTCCAGACTTGTGGCTCGAGCTAGGAAGCGGAGTTCAAAACGTTAAATGACAAAGACTATAGACTAGCATAATTATATTGTTTTACTCACAAGAAATTTTAATTGGTCTTTATCGCAGATTTCTTCGATGTTTTCTTCTCTCGTTCGAGTAGTGGCCTAAGAAATAAAAATCAAATTATGTAAAATACTAACACATTTCAATTTTCTATATAGGAAGGGTGAAATCAATTTGAGAATGGCATAAGATGATGTTGTTTTATTCGACAAAGCCGTCAAAATGAGCATGAAATATTCTCGTTGTTAATGAAATTGAGTTCCAAATTATTCGTTGTTCAAGTTTGAAAATATTTTAAAATCCTCATAGTCAACGTGAATGGTTGTAAATAAACACTAGTGCCTATTATTAAAGTTAAGACTTTTTTAAATTTCCGGAAGGAGGAAATGGCGAACATAGACAGGGTCGCACGGATGGTCAAGTTTCAATTTTGCCCAAAACGCAATACTTCTAAGTATGACATACACGATTAACAAAACATGGCACATTTCCATTAAGAGCATTAAAACGGGAAATATATTAATAATAACATAATTAGAATTCTTGTCTTTTTGATTCCGTACTACGAGTGCACTGGATTCCGACCTAGTAATTTTAGTTTAATAATTTCCTTAACTTCAACGATAACCGCTCGTTTGGAAAGCGTCCAGCGAACGTAGGTGCGTGCCACTTTTACCACGCGTATAAAATTCTGACATTTTCAAAAACAAGTAAAAGTGGTATATCAATCATTTAGAGTATTGTATGTTTATTACAATTTAGCTAGGACGTTAATTGCAAAAAAAAAATATATATAGACACGAACAAAATCGTTTTTAGTAAAGCAGAAAACCAACCAGACGTTTTACCGTTAGAATTATTACCTTGCAAAAATATTGGAAAATAGTGTTCGCAGTCAAAACGAGGCACACAATGAATAAAAGATCACCAATCCAAAAAAAAGACATGGCCAAAAATGAGATGGAACCGATGGCCAAGCAATAACTAATTGCAAAGTTCGTTTATTTTTAGAATTTTTCAAATCGAGGTGATTCATTCTTTCTAAGAGACATTATTTTGTTCGTTCATTGACTGCGACAAGTGAAAATAGAAACGGGCAACTGGGAATATTTTAGTAGCCAGCTAGGAAAAGATCGGAGACGGGAATAGGGTCCAGAACGGAGGAAGCAAGAACCTATCTGCTGGTGGGGCATGGAGATTTGTGCCTGCGCACTCCGCGCTTCCTCTTTCTCACTCGACAAACTAAAAATTGCAACCAGTCAAAAGATATTCTTACATTATGAAATTACAACTACTTGCAACCTCTTTGAGCAATTGAAAACCAAACTAAAAGAGATAATCTGTAACTTCATTCATGAAATATGGCACAATTATCAGAAATCGGTCGATCTGAAGATTAGAGGCTGTACGCTACGGTACTTATTTTAGAAGTATTTACAAACAATAAATATTTAGGGTTGAAAAGAGAACTTACAATACTTTGCTTCTTCTTTACATTACATTTTTTTAGGGTAATATTTTTCCCTAGTGCTACAGTTACTGATCTACAGCAGCATTTAAATACAAAAAAAGACAAATGCCTGAACAGAGGTAGTTTAGCAATTTCCACATTTGAAGTGAAAATAAATGACGCGACCCGGATATTGGATGTTTAGCTGTTCCATTCCGTATGTCCAGATCGGTTGTAGTAGCGTTTTGTAGAATGGAAGTTTCTTTTTCGTTGATTTCCAGTCGACTATAATTTTTAAGAAGAAGAAGAAAAATAACTTTATTCTGGGACTGGTGTCCCCTAAGAATAATTTACATGAAATAAATAAAGGAAGTTCCTTCTATGAAGTTAAAAGTAAAAAAAAGATAGAAATCTTGACACAATGTATACCAATAAGGCAGGACAGAAGAAAAAATTATGAGAATATTAAACCAAAATAACTAATGTTAATGTGAGGTCATAGAAAGGAGAAGGGAGTTCCAGAGTTTAGGGGCTCGGATCAGAAAAGATCTTTCGAAGGTATGGGTTGTATGTTGCGGAAGGATAAGGTCGATTGGGGATGAGCGGGTCTTACGAGTGAGATGTGAGGAGTTGAATTGGAGGGATTGGATGATGTAAGGAGGACGACGAGTGTGGATGGACTGAAAAAGAAAGCAACCTAGGAAATACTGTGCACGGAAGGAGGGGAATAGCCAGGAAAGTTGGGAATACAACCCCGACACCCGGATCCCCGTGGGGTGCCGTACACAAATCTTACGCAACAATTCGTAATACGCTTNTTTTAACTGAAGAGCAGAAGGGGATGGGATGGTTATTTAGCATGAGAGGTGGGAGGGAATTGAGGAGTTGTCTGGACCCGATAATTATGGCTATAAACTTATGACTATAAGTTTATAGAGTAGACCGTAGCAAGTGTAGGTTTTGTCATGTATTGCTGATTCAGTTAAGCTACGCAACTCTACCAGATGCTACCCTACGCCTTGTCTCGTTTTGGTAGGGTGCACACTGCACATCTATCGACGTCAAGCGCACGCCACATTCAGTTACACAGCGTGTATCACAAATCAGTATCACGCTCGCAACGCCTCTTTTGTTCTTAATGCATTATTTTGAGCAAATACATGTAATAAATTGATAGTTAAATTTTATGAGCACAACCATGTAACAAATTGTTTATTAAACTTAATTGTTTTAAATAAAGTTATTCCGGTGTTTCGATAAATTTTCTTCCTAACCATCATAATTAGGAACTTTAACTTTTTATAAAAACCCATGAATTTTTGATGTCGTTTAATTTAGTTTACATTAAAATAAGAATGTAGTAATTAATATAACGACAATAATACATCTAATTTGAAAAAATTCCAGTTCTTTTGTCTTCGACTCTACTCGATGCTACCCGACGAAAATCTGGACTGTGGGGATCGCGTATATATATATAAAAATTCCGTGACAGGACATCTAAAGTGAATCTCAATCTGTCTAAAAGTTTTTTTAGTGTTTATTTAATAAAACCATGTTTCTTTATATAAAACCCGAATTTTCTCCATTCTAACGTAACTTTTTCCAACTTTTGACCCAATGTTTAGATTTAGCACCGAATTTCCTTTTAGATTAGTCCACTTTTGTTCTAAAAATTGTCAGTCAATTTTCAAAATAACTGCATAAACATCAAGAAATTTAGGAAATGGTAATTTTGGGTGAAGTTCGTTAAACCGTAGCTCCCTTACATTAATTTTTTTTAAATTCAAACCAAACTTCTAGATCACGTGGTTAGAATAGTGGCGTATTGAACTTGAACTTGAAGGTCATGGGTTCGAATCCCTGTTGTGACATTAGCTTTTTCATCTCAACCAAGACATTAGATAAAAAGTATAATTAATTGAAATAGTATTACGGTCAACTATGACTACGATTAATATTATTTGTAAATAAATTTTAAGACAAAATATAATCCCTGATGCCCAATTTGGTACTGTATGTATACAATATGCCCGGTCGGGAGTAATTGATTGAATAATGATAATTTATACACAATTATATTACTGGATATGCAAATTACCAGATATTTTATTGCGTGGTTCTTTTTTCTCCGCCCTAGGCGACTGAATAATAATATTTTTATTAAATAACAAACTTTGTACGTGAAAAGTTTTATGATACAATCGATATATATTATGATAACGATCGGTGAAAGCATTAAAAGTTATAAATTTTTGTTGCAAAAGTGTTCCCTACTATTTTTTGTAAGGCACGGTATGAATGACTAACACATCCATATACAAAGTCCAACGTATTTTGCTAGTAAATTTAATTCGCATCTTTTCCGAACTCCAGGCAATGAACCCCGACTCACTCTCAGTATATATATAATTCTTTTTCTTCGTCAACGGTGAAGTTTTCTTGGCTGAACACACTTAAATCGGTGGAGTTTTCGCCAAGTTTCACGCCGTTACCATGCCAACAATTTTTATACATATGCATGTTGCAAGGGTAGGCAATTATGCAAGTTATACAGAATTTAGTATTCACACGATACAGGAAAATAGTATAACCGATGCTTTATTAGAAACATAGTCTTACTAATGTTCTTTCGTAGATTGAGGGCAGTATATCTCGGATAGTCGTTCGTTCGTCTGGATTGGCTTTTCTTCCGAATCCGACATTGTGGCGATAAAAAGGTAATCGTATTTCAAAATAACGTTTATTAACTGCTTAAAAGCCAGAAAGGAGGTATCTAATCCGAAGCCAGAACTTTCCATCCAAAGCTCGCTCACTACATAAAAATCAAAATCTAATACCCAATCGTCACCATTTTTGCAACCAACTGTAGGATTCCAAATCCAACTTCTAACTCATCACTGGGCACTGACTTTACGTGGGGCTTTCTTCCCCATGGAAGTGACCGGGAGGGCAAATACAATTCTTTCTTCCTACTACCTTTCTGGTAGTTCTCATCATTCTGAACTTTTTTTGAGGGGATTCTTGACTGTCCAAAGAAGACACGAACTGTTGTTGTTTCACCTTTTATGTATATTCGCATTCTGGTAGTGTAATACAATAATCTTTACACAATTAATTATTAATTAGTTACACTACTAATTAGCTATATAAAAATATTATATATATTTACTAAAATTATTATTAAATATTATTATTATTAAAAATATTAATATTATTAAAAATATTATATATATTTACTAAAATTATTATTAAATATTATTATTATTAAAAATATTAATATTATTAAAAATATTATATATATTTACTAAAATTAGGATAATAAGGATAAATAGGAAGACAAAACTAATAATACGTATAAGTCTGTAGTTTACAATTTTTCGATAATTTTGGTCTTCATGTCTATAAAATTCGATTACAAACCCAACTGAATTATTAGGGGTGATCTTGCCCTTTACCCACTTTTCAAGGCTCAAACACTATATGGATGATAGTTACTTTAGAGTTTGGCTTGAATCCTTTTCCTCTCCTATCTGGCAGGAGTTACGCAGGTTATGGGCCCATTGTAGTACAGTAAACACTGCCGATATACATTCTTAATCTGACACTAAGATCATTTGCTAGCAGACTCATCTCTACTCCTCAGACTAG